GTGTGTGTATGCATTTGTGATTTGTGTATGTTGGTCCAGGGGCTTACCTTATCACTTAAGACTAGTGCTCTTCCTCTTGAGCCAAAGCTCCACTTCTGCATTTTTGATGGTTAGCTGGAGATAAGAGTCCTAGGGACTTAATTTCCTACCAGGGCTGGCTCACAATCCTTGTTATCTCAGCCTCATGAGTAGCTAGAATCGTAGATGTGAGCCACAGCACTTGGCTTAGAACTTTTGACCAACTGTCTCTGTGCTGCCTCCTGAGTGCTGGACGGCAGGTATGCACCACTATCTCCTGCTGGGGCGGGTTTTGTGGGCTAGTTTGGAAAGATGATGCTTTAGGTGAGGAGCTCAGAGGGTTGTGGGGCTCCCTCCTCCCTGCCCCTTGCTGTCCTCAGTGGGCCATGGAGCTGGACACTGGTCCTAGCAGCCAGAGTTCCTGCTAGTGTCACAAAGGTGAAGGACCTGAGCACACACCGTGCTCAGCTGCCACTATGGGGGCAGGGACTAAGAGCTGGGTTGGTGCCATGGCCCAGTGCTCTCAAGAGCATGCTGTGCCAAACCATCTACCCAGGAGCTCCATCCCAATCTGAGCCTCTGTGGAGCCTTCTTTTTGGAACTTCCTGTTGGCCACTCCCAGGGACCTCTGACTTCCTCGTGTCTGGCTGAGCAGCCTCAGTGGCACCCACTCTGTAGAGACACCAACTGTGAGTCCAGACACCAGACCAGAGGCGCCTCAGCCTCAGGCATTTCACAGGGGTGAATGCTGCATTCAGGCGGGAGGTGCCCATGGGACCTGGCGTCGTGACTCCACGGAGGGGTGCAGCCCTCACTGCTGCACCGTGTCCCTTCAACAGCGCTGCTTTCTGCTGAGATGTCCACAGTGAGCTGTGTCCACAGCGGGAACGCAGCTTCCTGCATCACCACGGCCACTGTACCGCGCCTCTACCTGTGGCATCACCCACGGCCACAGCACCTCAGCGCACACACACCAAGCCATCCATGGCTACAGCACACTGCCCGCAGCACCACGCCACCACGCCCCATCACCTAAGGCTGCCATGCCCAAGTGCTCCAGTGTGGCCTCACTCATCACTGGGAGGAGTGGGGGAAATGAAGCTGGCCGTGTTGTCTTGGTTGTCCTGGAAGCCGAGTGCAGGCTGCTTCATCTTACTTGTTCTTCACCGTACATAAGTGACATAAGGCCCAATGGTGCCTTTTTGCTGGCCGCTCCGCTTTTCCAGGCCTCTTGGGCAAAATGTCCCCATTTGGGTGGGTTGAAGTGGCTCCCTTATAGGTGAGAGACATGGAAGCCACGTCCTGGCTCTCACAGCCAACGGGAAGATACCAGACCGAACATGCTCCACGGCGCCTTTGTTTTAACCTACATGCAGTCCTATAAGCATGCCAGACAACCCTGAAACCTCTCCGGAAAACCAGTAGATGAGTGTGCGTACACGTATGTACACACGGCTGTGTAGATGCACATTCAAATCTCCATACTCACACGTGGCTCCTGCCCTCAGCATGCACTGCTTGGCTGCTGGCTCTCACAGGCAGCAGCCACATCCTGGCATGAAGAGCCTCTGGTCACTCTGGGTCAGCAGAGGAGGGTCCTGTCCCTCTGCTTTTCTACCATGCAAACCAACAAAGTCAAGGCCATTTTCTCCCTTCTGAATCTTTTTTTTTTATTAATGAAAATATAACACACACACACACACACACACACACACACACAGAGTCAGCCATTGGGCTTGAACTCAGAGCTGGGCATTGTCCTTAAGCTCTTTTGTTCAAGGCTAGTAATCTACCACTTTGAGCCACAGCTCACTTCTGGTATTCTGATGGTTGGAGATAAGAGTCTTGTGGACTTGGCTACCTGGCCAGGTTTCCAACCATGATCCTCAGATCTCAGCCTCTTGAGATGCTAGGATTACAGGTGTGAGCCACTGGTGCCCAGCTAAAAAATCTTTTTATGAAAACATCAAAGATACCCAGAGGTGAGCCTGCTACCCAGCCCCGCTGTTCCTTACCCAGGTGCCCTCACCTCCTAGAAGCAAAGGCCACATTGTCCCTCTGTACCTTTTAGGTGAGGTTTTTGGGGTGAAAGCATCCCACACCCCCAACCCAACCATCCTACCTTTAACAGTTGCCTTTGGGTTCACCAGTAACAATAAGCAATGCCAGTTCTCACTGGTGTCTGGCATGGGGGCAAGTGGCTCTACCACTGACTGGCCTTTTACTCAACAAACCCAAGCCAGCACCTAGAGCAGTGTCAATTCCCCACAGGTCAGGAGTAGTGAACCTCTGCCCTGTCTTGCCCTACCCCAAGTCAGTCTCAGGTAATCAGGGCATAATCAGCCCCACCCCCCTTCCCTGACTTCTCTCCCACCCATGGGAGGAAAAGGAAAGGATGTCTCCACTAGACTCCTGCCCAGTTATGCTGCCAGCCAGCAGCCCTCCCTTCTCTATGTCATCAGGCCCTTGAGCTACTGTAGCATTCCAGTGGGCCTCAGACATGTTAGAATCTTGCCAGTCTTGAAAACACACTCTTCTCTGTGAGGCTTTCTCTTGGTTACAGCTCTATCTCTCTGCTCTCCTAACAGAATAGAATAGTCAAGGTGGCTTCTTGCCTCCTGCCCCTGCTGTTCTACAGAACTGTGTGTTGGATGTCAGGACATCATCAAATCCAGGCCCCATCCCACACTCCTGGTCCTGCCAGGGCTTTTCCCTTTTGGTTAAGGACAATGTGGTTCTTACAATTGCTTAGGCCTACACTCCTGGACTCAGATAAAATCAACAAATTCCTAAAAAGACACAAACCATTAAACCTGAGTTAGGCAGAAGCAGACAATCCAAACAGACCTACTGCAACTGAAGAGATGCTGTTAGTGAGCAGAGGGTGCCCTCTAAGCCCAGAGGCAATGGCTTCACTGCTGCGTTCTGCCAAACACAGGAGTTAACACCAATCACTGCAGATTCCCATGGACAGCAGAAGAGCCAGAAATAGTTCCACCTCATTCCATGATGCTAGTAGCAACTTGATGCCAAAACCAGACACAAATGTCACAGGCCAATACCGATTATTAACATGGACACAAAAATCCTCAGCAAAATTGTAAAGTGAATCCGGGCATATGCAAAAAGAACTATGCACCATGACCAAGTGGAGTTCATCCCATGGTAGATCAATATCTAAAAATCAGTCAGCATCACACACCACATTCACAGAATGAAAAAACAAGCCCACGTGATCAATAGAGGCAGAAGCAGCACTGGACCACATCTAAAGCTGTTTGCTGGTGAAGACCTCCTCGGCCTGATAAAAAGCATCTGAGAGAAAAGCACAGCCTGCACGGCTCAGAAGCAGACTGGATGGTTCCCCTGCAGGGACAAAGAGAGCTAGCTGCTCTCCTGCTCCTCCTGTATGGCCAGGGCATCAGGCTAGGAAGCAGCCAAAGGTAGCCGTGTTTGAAAGGAAGACGGCAGGCCCTCTCTATTCAGTCAAACGGATCTTACATCGGGAAAACTCCGGAATCCACTGAGAAGCTCCTGGAACTAATGAGTGGCTTCAAGGGAGCAGAGAGACACTTTCCTCCTCGGTGACCCATTTCCCCCCCAGCCCCCGCAGCGGTCAGCGGGACTGCCCCCCTGTCTTGCCCTTTCCTCCCTCTGATGGACGGGAGCTGTGGCTCCTGCCTGTAATCCCAGCTAATAAGAAGGCACACACCATGAAGATCCAGGTTTAGGGTCAACCCAGGCAAAAGGTGAGACCCCCCCATCTCAACCAACAAGCCGGCTGGCTGCGAGGCGTCTCGGTGACCCCGGCCCACCGGAGGGCATAAGCCAAAGGCCCCACGGACGGTGGGCGCAGCAGGGCGACCTTACCTGGTAAACCAAAGGCCTGGATGCAGGACTCAAGTGGCGGAGCGCCTGCATAGCCAGGCGGTCCCGAGATGAGCCCGGCGCCGCAGAAACAGGCAAACGCCGGCGGGGTGGCGGGGTGCAGGCGCCTCCCCGCGCACAGCCCGCGCACGCCGGGCCTCCCTTCCGGCCCCCGGCCCCGGGCGGCCTCGCCCGCACGCCCGGCCCGGCGCGGAGCGGCGCGTCCTCGCCACCCCCGCCGCGCTTCCGGGCGCTGGGCCGGGCCGGGCCCGCGAGGGCCCCGGAGCGCCCCGGCCAACAAGGCTCCCGGCCCGCGAGGGCAGGCCGGCGCCCGCTCGCAGCCCACCCGCAGGTCCCGGCTCTGCGGGGCCGCGCCGCCCGGGTGGCCGGGGACCCCGTGAGCCCCGCTCGGGCTGGGCGGCCCTGGGGTCGCCGACGGCCGGCGCGGGGCCCGTGCGAGCCTCACTCAGGGGCGTCCGCGGGCCCGAGGCTCTCAAGGGAATAGCGGGGGGACCGGGCCCGGCCCGGCCCCGTTCCGAGGACCTAGAGACGGAGGCCCGGACCCCCGCGGCAGGCTCTGGAGGCGGCAGCCCCAGTCTCCGGCCTACTGCGCCTGCGGAAGGGGGCGGGGCGCGGGAGCGAGACGCCACTACTGCGCCTGCGGAAGGAAAAGGGGCGGCGACAAGCGGACGAGGGCCCGAGGCAAGGCCTCTGGTGAGCCTTCTGCGCCTGCGGAAGGGGGCGGGGCGGGGCGGGGCGGGCGTTTCGATGGCACCTGCCCGTGGGCCGGGTCGCAGGCGTTGCTTACCGCGCCTGCGGGAAAGGGGCGGGGCTGCGAGAGGCGTTAGCTGCGCCTGCGTGCGGTGGCTGCTGGGCGCTCGCTCCGCCCGTTGGCCGCCGCCTCAGCCGCCGCCTCCCAGGAGCCGCGCACGCGCCGCCGACTCAGCCCCGCCACCGCCGCCGCTGCCGCCGCCGCCTCCCCCGGCCCGCGCCCGCCCCGGCCCGCGCCCGCCCGCCGCCGCCTCCCTGGCCCGCTCGGCGCCTCCTCGGCCTCGGCTCGGCGCCCGCAGCATGCAGCAGCAGCCCGGGCGGCGGCGGCGGCCGTGAGGCGAGGGCCGCGCGCCCCGGCCGGCCGGCCCGGGAGGGCGGCGGCGCCTTTGTTGAGGCCGGGCCGCCGCGGCCTTTGTCTGCAGATGGTGGACGCCGGCGGCCGCGCCGCCGCGGACGGCTGGAGGAGGATGGAAGCCCCGCCGGACGGCACCGACCTGGTGCCGCTGGACCGCTACGACGCGGCGCGGGCCAAGATCGCCGCCAACCTGCAGTGGATCTGCGCGAAGGCCTACGGCCTAGGTGGGCGGGGGCGGCGGGAGGACGGGCCCGTGCGGGGGCCGTGCGGGGCCGGGCCGGCGGGAGGACGGGGCCGTGCGGGGGCCGTGCGGGGCCGGGCCGGCGGGAGGACGGGGCCGTGCGGGGCCGGGGCCGTGCGGGGCCGGGGCCGTGCGGGGCCGGGGCGGCGGGAGGATTGGGCCCTTGCGGGGGCCGGGGTTGGTCGGGCTGAGCGGGGACGCGGGCCCGGCCGGCGGGAGGACGGGCCCGTGCGGGGGCCGGGGTTGGTCGGGCTGAGCGGGGACGCGGGGCCGGGGCCGCGCGGGGACGGACGGGGTCCGTGCGGGGGCCGGGGTTGGTCGGGCTGAGCGGGGCCGCGGAGCCTGGGGGCGGCAGGCCGGGCCGGGGGCCGGGCGGGGACACGGGGCGTGGGGAGACGGGGCTGGGGATCGGGCGGTGGGCCCGCCGGGGCCGGGCGCGGTGTCGGCCGCCCCCCTGCCGTCCCGGGGGCCCCGCCAGCCCCGCGCTGCAGGCCCTTGCGGTCGGGCCGCGCCCGGAGTGCGCCCGCGCCGTCCTTGCTCCGAGTCCCGGGGGGCGGAGGGGGCTGCGGGCTCCCGAGTGGAGTGTCGGCCCGCCCCGCGGCTCCCGCTCGTCCCCGGGCCTGGTAGCCGCCGCCCCGAGCCCTGTCTCCGGCCTCGCGAGGCCGGGTGGGCCGAGGCCGCGTCCTAGGGGACAGCCTCGATTCTTAGCCGTCCTCCCGCGTCTGAAGATTGGTACCTAGGAAACGGGGGCGGTGGACGCCTCTAGACTGTCCGTCCCACTCCTGTGCAGCCCAGCGAGCCCCTGCGCCGGTGCCCGGCGGGGGACCGGTGACCCTGCGTGCATCCCGGGCAAGGCCTCATGCGGAGTGGGTCGGGGTGCTCGCGCCTCTGCGCCCTGACCGTGCCAGGCCGGGTGCCGTCGCAAGTGGGATGGTCCCGCGTGTCCTGTGTTTAGTGCAATGTTCAGATACTTAGGAGTCCCCTTCAATCTGAAGCTTAAGTCACCTTTTTGTCTGATGACATCGTCGCCTGAGACCGAAGTTTAAAAAAGGGCGAGCTAAGAGAGTGCGGAAGTGGTGCTGAGGAAGGCACCTTGAATGCTTATGTGGTCATGTGAAAATGCAGCCCCTCGTATAACCGATTGGTTCTAATAAAGAACGTTGGGGGGACGTGTGAGCAGACCAATTCTGAAAACTCGCTGGGCAGGCATTCTTGTGCCACAGCGGCTTGGGCCTTAGCTGGCCTCCAGTTAGTCAGAAGGACAAACATGTTTTGTGAGTCTCAGGGATTAAATACACTGCTTTGTTTTAAACTTGCCTTAGTGGCTTGCAAGTTAGGAAATAGTTCTTTTCCAGTTTTAAGTCTTGTAGTCCTCACTCACTGGTCCCGTTGGACTTCAGTCAGATGATGTGTTGGATAACCCTAAGAGTAGAACTGTTGTTAAAACAAACAAAAACTAAAAAACACCTTAGAAATAATGCTGGAGTGGACACTGGGAGCCAGGCCTTCGGTGGCCACCCACCTTTGTGGGCCCCACACCTCACCCTGTCCTCCTGGCCACTGCCAGCCTGGGTTGGATGTTGTTTTATGTCAATTGCACTGCCGAGTTTTATGTGATTTTCACACTTTCTTTTGAGGTTTGCTTTCTTTACCCTACATTGTATTGTTGGTTTTCTCCTGCGTTGTCTTGATTCTCTACATGTGTTCTCTGTGTTGTGCAATATTTCACTGAGGCCTATCGTTGTGCACCAGCCGCTGTTCCTAGGCACTGGCTCAGGTCTGATTTTTATTTTTCCTCTTAAAAATGGTGTATTCTTTGGCCTAAGTTCAAGGTTTCATTCCTGTGTGGTGGTTTTGTTTTTGGTGATGGGTGGCTTGTGCATGGCAGATACCGCTGAGCTACACCCAGAGCTCTTTGTGCGTATTGAAAATTGCCCATTTACAAATGGCTTAGATTATACCAGCGAGTGGCAGATAGACTCAGAAACGTATAAACACTTCCATGATTAGTTCTTCAGAGTCCTTAGCAAGTGAGTCTGTGTGTATTTTGTTGTGTTTAGCCTTGGCATTTGCCAGTTAGGTACAGATCAGTGCTGGTCTCTCAGGGTCTGGATCAGGTAAGCAGACCTTTATTCCCTAGGATCAGATTGCTCTTCAGTACTTGTTAGCTTCTCAATAGTGAGGCAAAAACCTGATAAATGATACAGGCTTTGAAAATGTGAAATTATTGAAAAGTTGGGCCTTTAAAGATTTCACATGAGAGCAGGAATTGAAGAGCAGGTACCGTCCTGGGACAGAAGTCTGAGGTGCCTTGTTGATTTGGGATGAGTCCTTTGCTAAAAGAAAGCCCGTGCTGCCAGTTTTAAGAGTCTGATTTCTGTTCTGTTTTGCTAAATGAGGGCATTTCTGTTCGATTCCTAGCCCTAGGAAGGAGGCAGGTGTAATTACTATTTTGTTTATCTTTTGCTTGGTCATGGGGCTTGAACTTCAGGGCCTGGGCACTGTCCCTGAGCTCTTTAGCTCAAAGCTAACGCTCTAACACTGCCACTTCTGATTTTCTGGTGGTTCATTGGAGATAAGAGTCTCATAGATTTTCCTGCCTGGGCTGGCTTTGAACCATGATCCTCAGATCTCAGCCTCCTGAGTAGGCTAGGATTACAGATGTAAGCATCCTGCGCTTAACTTTTTTAAATTGGGATTATTTAACTTTACCAGTTTGGGAGCTTCCAACTCAGATGACCAGAAAGACCGAGCTAAGCTTGGCTGGAGAGACTTCATTTATTTGTGGTATGGAGGTCACAAGCTGGATAAGAACTTGTTATCTAGCATGGAGTGTAACTTGCAGGAAAGGAGTAGGGGGGGCAGATGGCAGGATGGTAGATTTTTTTCCCCTTAAAACACTTTACCCAAGTGGGGGGAACCTTTGTTTCTTGTTTGGAACTCCTCATGCTCTTGAGTGTAGGTTAATGTTCACTAGACATGGCGCTTTCATTGGTAAGTCAGCTTTAGGTGTGCTTGCTGGGAAAGTGGCTTGGATGCTTCATGTGTTCTATAATTGTTCATTAGGTCCTGAAGTGAGACCAGTTTTCCTTCCTGTATAAATTGGAAGCTGGTGAAAGCATAGGGCTGGCCTCTGGGGGCTGGCAGCTTCCTCTGCTTGTTTCAGGGACTGTCCCGTCTGTAGCAGGTGGCAGGCCCCAGGAGCTCACCTGGGTGACCTTGGGCGTATGGTTATATGGAAACAATCGTACATGTCTGTAGCAGGCTGGAGATGTGGCACAGTGGTGGAGCGCCTGCCTTACAAGTGCCCTGAGCTCAAGCCACAGTGCCACCAAACCACAACAAAAACAGATAAGCAGGAGGGAGTTTGTTTAGGCTGCAAGAACAAGTGGTAACAATTTACTTTTTTTTTTTTTTGTCAGTCATGGGCCTGAACTCTAGGCCTGGGCGCTGTCCCTCTGCTCCTCAGCTCAAGGCCAGAGCTCTACCACTTGAGCCACAGCACCACTTCCGACTTTTTCTGATTATGTGGTGCTGAGGAATCGAACCCAAGGCTTCATGCATGCAATGCAAGCGCTCTACCACTGAGCCACCTTCCCAGCCCAAGTGGTAACAATTTGGATGAGAATTGCAGTAAACTGACAGAAAAGGAAAGGAGTACTTGGAATACATTTTATAGGCTAGAGTGCTGGGCCTAGGCAGTCTTGGTTTTTCCCTCTGTGTATTTCATGTGTGTCTTTAGCAAACTCAGGCATCTGGCCTTGGTTTCAGGGGTCAGTGGTGCTTTTCTCTCTCCAGGACAGTGAAAAAGCCAGGGAAGTATGAGAAGGCTCCCGGCTTTGTGAGGGAGTTGTGTGCTCAATGGAAGCTGGCTGACTTGTCCCTCTGCCCTGGGCTGCCCTGAACCTTGGCCCCCAGGTGAGCCTTCAGCCTTCTCCTTCCAGCACACCTGGCCTGACCAGGGCCTGCCACGGCTGCTGGCAGGAATGCTACCCCCCTCTTCTCTCTTGTTCTCCCGTTCTCCTCTCAATGGACTTATTCAGCCTATTGACTTGAAAGGCATGTGGTAGAGTAAGAGGTTCCCAGAGGACCTGTGAAGCTGGGTTCAATAACTTGGTGTTGGCAAACATGGCGTAGGCTCTGGTTTGCTTAGTTGAGATTAGAGGGAGACCCCTTAGTAACCAGATGCAGGGGTCTCTAGGTTGTTTTGTCGTAGTGATATCTGGTCAAAAAGAATCTCTCCATGGACTCCTTTTGGCTTGCCAACCCTTTCCCCACTTGGGGCCACTTCCAGGGCAGCCCGCCCCAGACAGCAGTGTGCCTGCCATCCTTTGCAGAGCAGAGGCAGTGGCCAGGTTGTTGTAGGTTTGGTCGGATTATTGGTTTATGAGTTTGGATTATGTTTTAAATAGCCATGTTGTTCTTGGCAAGGTCTGGCATGAAGGGTCAGGGCAGCTTTGAGTGTTTATGAACATTGGAAGTGATGCTGTGGGCTGCTGTCTGGTCAGCAGTGTGACCTTCCCTTCACTGGGGTGTCTTGAGAACAGCCTGTCTTCTGGCTGGTTGAGCTTGCAGTATGTGGGGGGGGGGTAAGGGGGTAGGGTCCTGGTTGTCACATTTAGTACTGTTTCCCCTGTGCAGAGTGCTCAAGTATTTGTTGAACAGAGGATTAGGAAGATGTGTTTTATGGCTCAGTCCTGGTGGCCAGAAGTGGGGGAATTCATATTTCTAGAGTGTCAGCTTATTTTTCTTTCTGCCCTGATGCCACAAGTATTAACAGAACAATTAAATATCAGGAGTAATATATAAATTCATCTTTAAGTTTGATCTGTAAACCAGTTCTTTAAGACTGACTCTCAAAAGTGTCAGCTACTGTTGTTCTTCAAGGTGCTTAACTTTGGGCAAATAATCTCCAAATAGCCGTTAATATTTTCTTTCCATTGTATTTATTCTGGAGAAATTACTGGCTTTTTTTTTTTTTTT